GTTCATTTTTTTGTCAGCAAAATTTATTTGTTTATACGACTACGATGCTGGTGAAACATCTGGGAATGTATCAAGTCCACGGTCCGACTCTGGAAATTACCATGAATACCATGGGCTCCGTACAAGATACGTTCATCTAGGTCGCCTTGACAATACGGCCAAGGTTAAACAAATTCTATCCAACAAAAGAAGACCATGACAACACCATTTTGGTCTTCATACGTTCGATTATTCATATGCCGTTTTGACTTCACAAATAAAAACATAAAAATGATTACTCCGTGAAGTGTTGGCTCGCTTTTTGCTCGGTATCTTGTAGTCGAAGGTTATCGAGGACAAATCGAAGACTATCCCGCGAAGCCTCTTGGATGCCCAGTGAAAGACTCTGAAAAAGATTTTTAGAGAGCATTACATGCATATGGGAACGACGATGCGCTTGGTAGGAATAAAAAAGGGTGTAAATATATGATAAGGGCAACATATAGTAGTAAGGAGCTAGGCTTCGATGATTGTCTACACGACAGGTATCGTTCTCACCACGTGTAAGGAGGACCGGATAAATTCATGTACCAGACCAACTCACGTAGTTTTGGGTTGCCTTTAGTTAAAGAATGAGCTTTGCTTTCTTTAAAAATATGTCCCACAAAAGGCTATTGCATAAGAGGGATTCACTGAAGCTAAGAGACAAGGCATCAAGAACTAATAGAACAAAAGCGATGATCAGCTGAATAAGAATACTGCCTCAAGGACGGCCGTAGACGGCATTAATCTCTTGTTCAAATGTCTACACTTAAAGTTAGAATGATGCAAATAAAATTTTTATATCAATCAAGTGTTTCATTGGCCAAAGCACAATGAAGAATAATGTATAAAATAGGCGCGAAAGTTATCATGCGATTAAATTTCCCCATCATTTTTGAGAAAAGGAAATAAAGTGAGAATTCCCTTGTGGATTAAATTGCACACAAACCAATGGCTTAAAATTGTTGAGGTTAAAAGAGAATGAGGCTCAACAATTAATACAAAAACACAAGATGAGTAACCAGAAATACCGAAATTCTTACTAGTTCCAGGACTGCAAGGAGACTATAAGCGTGCCTTCGAAGAAGGTTGTAGGCCTCACAACAGAGATCTATAAACCGCTGAACTCCTGTCTGAGGATACTTTGCTAATGAATGCATCTGTGCCGAGCCGAGGTCGGGATTCGAGCGCTCAGTTTCCTTGGAGAGTTCATTGAGTACATAGAGCATTGAAGATGTAAACACAAATGGAACGCGATCCCTAAAATACAAAAATACAAAAAGCTGAGTAAACTCGAAGATCTAAAATGGCTGAAAAAATTCCCATTCTTACCAGAAGGGGCTTACAAGGATTCGACTTTCGCTTAGGATCTATTTTAGCCTCTACGATCGGTTCCCAGATAAGATAATTTTGATAGTTTCTATATACCAAAAGGCTCCATGCTTGCTCCAAACTTGTTAATATTGTCATGAAAGTAAAATCCTCCTTGCCTAATATAGGGGTTACCTATTTACCTAGTAAGCTCTAAGACGAGACGACAACTATAGTCCCTTCTGTAAAAGGATACACTTTTGGTCACCTAGTCATGAAATACTCTATCGGTAAATGGAAAGGCCAAAATAAAAATGAAATGTCCTCACTCTTTGAATAGGGAGCCCGCTTACACCATGGACTCCAAATCTTCACTGTTATATTCCACTTTGCTGGCATTATGAGCTGAAGTTACTCTCTTACTCTGAGAAGATTTAGCCCTCTGAGCACAATATCCTGACATCCATGTTAGAGCATGTATGACTCACCTAACAATACGCAGTATCTGCTCATAGTATGGGCAATTCCCGCTCGGATTTCTGAGTAAAGCTACGAAAAACACCGAGTACAGCAAGAGGCTTATGGTATATTGTAAATCAGGATCGATGTAATTACCCCTAAAGGAGCTTGTTTTTTGACTATCTAGATTATGAAAATGCAGGCCGTAGAAATAACTATAGCGAGTGCAGGATATGAAGAGAAAACTACTGATATACTTACCGTTTAATGCGAGCAAACTTCTCAGAGTCTCCAAAAACTTTGGCAAAATCGATGTGAAACACATGTCCAGTGGTGCGGATCATAATGTTATCATTGTGTCTATCACCAATGCCAAGCACAAAAGTGGCAACACAATAACCAGCAATACTACGAAGGAAGTTCTCCAAGGCCTAGAAACCAAAAAAAATAAATATGAGTTGTGTTCACCCTAGTTCGTTTAAGGTGATGGACTGGTAGTTGATTTTTACAGCAATTATATGAGTAGAGCTAATGTTTCCATTGAATTTCCCATATAGCCTTGCTTTCCCAAAAGGTATTCTCATCCGGGGTGGACTGCAGTTTCGACCTCGCATAGGTCTTATCAACACTCTCAGCGGGAGTCGAAACATGACAGTGCAGCGTGTAAGCTCGACAAGTTAACCACTACGGCACAAGTGCACTTGGGGCACAGGACAGATGTGAATTTCAAGAAATTCACATATTACATTCTGTGTTGGGATTGTCAATGAAGCAAACTTATATTTGCTATAGCAATCGAAGACATTACTGTTCTCGTAAATGAGTAGGTTTTCGAGACTACCAGTAAATAATCTATATGTTTACGAATAAAGTAATGTCGTCGATTGCTATAGCAAATAAAAGTTTGCGTCATCGATAATATTAACCTAAAGGAAGAATTGTATAATTCCGTGTCTTATCCTAAATAATGGTTTCCTTACACTCTATTTTGTATTATTCCGAATTTTATAACAATTAATCCTAAAGAATAATTTTTCTTAACCAAAATTTTATTTAGTCTTTCTAACTCTTGGAAATTATTATGGATACTATGAGCTCCGGACGAGGTTCGTTCTTGTAGGTCACCCAGACAATACGACCAGGTTGCGAAAACCAGGTCAGGCAGTTTCCGTATACATGTTTCCATAGCATATGCTTTTCCTTGATTTGTAGGCTAATTTTTCTTGTTGATACATCATTATACTTCTGCTCACAATTATGCGATAGAATCCTTAGCAATCCAGTTTGCCCACCTTCTTTTGCTGTGTCGGCAAGCTAGTAAAGTGTTATCTCCTTCTTAACAATCATCTCGATATTCCACCTTCTTAGTACAATTGCAATCTTTGGCTCAGTTTGAAGGAGGGCAAATACATAAACTTTGGGTCAACTTTCTTATTCATAATCTTATTTGGATACTATCCATGTTGAAAGTTGCTTTTTACAGCCTTAATATATTTCTTAATTATTTGTATGGCCTCCTCGTTATACAACCGACGCAGCACGAGAAGATGGACAAACTGGACTGCACGAAGGTTTATAACACAGCATGCAGCAACTGTGAGCAGAAGAATATAGGTGGAACGGGAAGAAAAACAGCACAATGAAAATCAAAGCCTTAGCAGAAACATGAATACAGAAAGAATAAAAATAGTGAAATACATTGCACGAACGAAGCATAGAATCGACTATATCTCTACAAAAGGACCGGCAGCATATTATGAAAATAGAAGAAAATGCAAGATTAGGGAGGCTATTTACATCCTGATTAGAAAAAATCTAATGAAAAAGAGACTAAAAGAAGGCAGAGTGTGAATAGGTCTAACTAATTCTGCTCAAAAGGGCACACCTGGACTTAATTAATATAGGCAAGTAAGAAATTGTGATAGTTAAGCCGGCGGTACGAGGATATAGCAAAGTGAATGCGCAAAAACAGAACTATTCAGCAGACAGTTCGTCATAAAGTACACTTCATTTTGCTCTCTGACGCGTTGTAGTGTGGTGCTAAAACTGGCAAGGCTCAATGAAGATGCCGGCTAAACGTCTTGGAATGCACCAAATCCACAGCCCGACGCTGGAAATCATCATGGACACTATGGCAGAGGGCTCGATAACACTACGACTAGCTGTGAAAATGAGGTTAAACCTCTTCTCTACAACGTAAGGAGGCCGTGATCATACACCTCTGATCAAAGATTTTGCAATTACCTTCCTATTTGAGTTTTTTATTCATTTAATTTTTTTTACTCATGTTATTAACAGCCCCTCTAACCTTACATCTCACACCAGGCTGAATGAAACTTAGCCAACTAGCCAAAGTCAAAAGCAAGGGTGAGGGAGCTTATGATTTTGCTATGAAGTGAAAGAGACGGCAAAATTAGGATAGCAGTCCATTTTAAAAAGTTAATTCGTGACCAAGTGAATGCGTATTCAAGAACATGCATTTATGTGTCATCCGCGATGCTTACTCGTCCATAATCCAGCTCAGTGGTGTTTTGTGATTGTAGCCAACGTGTGATTACTGAATCCTTAAAGACTCCAGTTAATCCACCAACCTCCTGCTGGATTTGCCGGAGAGTGGAGCACTCTGAAATCTGTTTGAATAGATAAAAACGTGAATATACAATGACAGATAAGGATGGAAAGCCAAACTTAGGATGTGAATCAAAATCAGATAAAAGAGATGAAAACCTAAAGAGAAATCGTACTATGTTATAAACGGCAGATCGGCAAAAATAAAAATAGTACAAAATAAATACATGAATAAGAGAAGGAACCCGAATAAGAAGGCTTCAAAGTGGGCAAAATATAAGTTATTCCTTCTGCTGAAAAGCTACCAAATTATTTGTTATCTAGATATTTTCTCACCAACTCAATAAATCCTTGCCGATCGTCCGTTGGAAGAATACGAAAGTGGATCATTCGGAGGTCGAGACCGTTAGAAAGCCAAATTCGGTCCATCAAGAAGATCAATTGGCAAATCAAGCTGTCCACCCGTAGGTCGTCGCCACACTGTAACAGTATTCGAAATACATAATGTATGTTTTTAGCTTATCTCAGAATATGAAAATATACTCTTATTCATACTTAATGTTTAAATGAATAATAGCCAATACTAAATAAAAGTGGCTCAGTTTAAAATCGTCTGTGAACCAGGAGAAGATCGTATTCTGTGGTCCTAGTTTACTATTAATTCCATCGATAGCCTAGGGGCTGCATATTTAAAGACATCTCTGTAGGGACTATCGATGTGCAACAACCACGTCAAACCGGGCCAAACCATGTATGGCCCATTGACATCTAGCACGCTTATCGATCTTTGTGTAGACAAGCACAATTGGATGTGGACTTTGGCCTTATTCAGATGAAATTGCATCAATCTTAAATGCGTCGGATTATATTTCATAGGCTCTTAAAATATAGCTTAGCACATACTATATCAAATTTCGAATACGATACATTCAAGTCGTGTGCTGAATCTCAAAGATTTAATGGACCTAAGTGGGTATTTGCTTTTACTAACCAAGCGCTCGCATAAAGAATGAAACGGGGTTGGCTTTATTCCCAAGGTTGAAAGGAGTGGATTCAAACGCTCCCCAATTCATACCATCAAGGAATCTGACTCAGAGTGAATGCTGACCATCAGTCTCCTTTCCACTTCAAAGCCACTCAGATGAAATAACCAAAAGGAATTTGGGCAGAGGCTAGTTTAAGTCAGAAGATTTTACTGAACTATGAGGAAGCTCTTTGTAAATACCTTATGGTGAAGCATATAGCTGCCCGTCATTCTATGATTTTTCTTACTAGTCACGGCACATTATAAAACAACATTGAGCTACTAGATTAAATTAATCACATTGCCTCGTATACCCTAAAATATATTATTATTAATATTAGACCTCTCCAAGGTCTCACGATCATATGCAAGAGTCGATCTCATCTACCCAGTCAACAAGTGTTCTCAAATATTGTGGATTAAAAGATAAATTTCAAATCACATCTGAAACCTATAGACATTGTTAAGGAAAGCATATGCGCATTCACAAAGTGAATATTACCCTTGGTGTCACAAAATACCGCGGTGTCAAAGCACTTACCAAGTAGCATTTTATGGCTAAGCAACATAGCTCCTCATCTGCCTAGCTCCCTGACTGCCAGCACCTTAAAGTTGTACGTGTTTATTCAAAACTGACATCACTCACTGACAATGTTTTAGATTTATTTCCGAAAGCCCCTGCACCCCACTTTCTTCATCGCTATCCATTTCCTCAAGTTAGGGGTTGATCCTTGGTCCAGGCGTCTCCTTTTTGCTGGTCTTGCTATATTGTCTTCCCCAATTCTGTTAAGGCAGTAGGCAAAGTAATCGCTAACTCTACCTTTCTCAAATTGTCTCCCCAAGGATGGCAATGGCCTTCCTTATCTTCCGCTTCCTTATGTTATCACCGTATGGAGTTTTCTTTTCTGTTGCCTTCCAACTGATCTTGTGTCCAATCTGTGCGATGTGTTCCGCTAATTCTGATCTTTCAGTATCCATTTTCCTGCATAGCCTCTGATGTTCCTTGATTCGTGTGCTAATGTTTCTCCATATTTCGCCAATATATTTCTGTCCGTAGCCGCCGCATGATATACAGTAAACTCTTGAACAATCCAATTAATCCACCCTTTTATGTTGCGTCGGTAGAATTGTGAAGTGTTGATTTCTATTTCATGGCCATCCCAATATTCCATTTCTTTAATATTGGCCGTAGTTTTTGAGTTAGTTCGCA